AACCTTAAATTAACAAAAAAAAAAGTAAAGCAGACTATAGACGTCTGTGAACCCGGGTGGAGAACTGGTTGCCCAGCAGTGTGGCAAGACCTGGGGACTCTAGGGCCCAGAGTCAGTGACAGCCACAGAGGACTAGAGTGGCCATTGCAGCATCCAGCTGATAAGAAGAGAGGGCATGTGCACAAGAACACCCATACGTGCAGATAGTACCCACTTGACCTGGCTTCAATGACTGGATGATCAGACCTCAACCAGAAGAAAAAGAGGATAAAAAAAGTAATCTGATACAATTTGATTAACTTGACCTACACCTATGGATGCAGCTCAAAAGAGGGAACAAATCCTTACAGCAAGGATCAATCCCACCCCCTCCATACAGAGGAGACAGGGATGGGCAACTTGGGCATTGGCTACCCAAAATAGTGACTGGGTTACAAGCTTTCAAGAGGGAACCTAGATTCAGAGAGCATGGAGGAAGGCAGAATCTCCACTGAATAGTATACAATCTGTCTAGGCGGGGCTGATGAAATGAAATGTGGATGGGTCTCTTGTGATACAATAGTGAATAATTGTTATCAGGACAGATTGTGAGGGCTGGAAATGTAAAGGTAGACGTTTTGTAGCAAAAAGGGGAGTGATTAACTTTTCAGTCTAGGAGCTGAGGTCCCTGGGACCATCAAGGGAGAAGAGTGGAGAGCGGCACCCTACCCAGAGAAGCAGTGATGCCTGAGATGGAGGCAGAGAAGATGATGTGAAGAGATGGAGCAGCTGGGGACTTCAGACCCAGAGACAGAGAAGGGGCTGTGTGCTGACGAATGGGGGGCAGGCTTGTAGTGTATACCCATTGGTTAGTTGATGATTCATGGAGGGGATTGTAACCATAGCAATGAAACGATATACGATAAGATGAATGAAAAACTAATGTTCTCCCATGTAAACTATCACATAATTCACAATAAAACATTAAAAAAAAAAAAAAAATTAAAGGAGACCAGAAAACCCATTCAGGGAGAAGTTCTTCTACGCCATCCTTTAAATCTTCATGAGGAACCCGCAGAGCCTCAGACCTCCTGGGACACTGATGTAGAGTTTTTAGCAAAGTGGGTGCCGTTCTAGTCCACAATATTTAAAGCAAGGGACGAGAACCATCCTGAAAGTTCTAGGCTCCGCATGTTTAAAGAACCAACCCCTTTACAAGAATGAAAAGGACCCTCATCATGAACTAAGAGATCTGATATCTGCAGAACTATCTGGAGGGAGAATATGTAAAGATAAAATTGGAGTCACTTCCTTTCTGCTACCCCCCGAAAACCTAATGTTTCTGCTTCATACTTAAAAAAATGAAAATTAAAATAGACAGCTGTACTAAGCTAAGACATGTATGACTTTTTTGGAATGAATATTGTCTTTAGCCTTTGATTCGCTGAGTTGTCCATTAATGGCATTAATGTAGTCTTTGTGCCTTTCTTTTTTTCCTGTCTTCCTACCTCCTCCATCATTAGAGTAGTATAAGGCTCCAGACACACACACACACACACAAAAAAAAAAAAAAAAAGTAAAGGAGAACTAGTGTTTCTCAAGACAAACAAAAATTGAGGGAATCTATAAGGTCGCTATGGGTCGGTACCACCTCGATGGCACTTAACAACAACAAATTTGCCACTAAACCTGCCTTGAGAGTGCCTAGGTGGTGCAAATGGTTTATACACTCTGCTGCAAACCAAAAGATTAGAGGTTCAAATCAGCAAGAGGTACCTGGGAAGAAAATTCTGGTAATCTATTTTCAAAATTCTGTCACTGAAAACCTTATAAAGCAAAGTTTTACTCTGACACACATGGAGTCACCGTGAGTCAGAATCACTGACAACCAATAGATCTGCAAAATATGTTAAAGTAAGGTAAGAGAGAAGGAAAATGAGATAGGTCAGAAACTTGAATTCATAAAAGATGGGATAGTGTGGTTAAGAAATAAAAGCAAAATAATTTTTTTTTTTTTTCTTATTCTTAACTGATCTAACAAATAACAGTTCAGGTTAACATTAGCCACAAGTGTTGTTGTTTTTGTTGAGTGCTGTCGAGGCTGTTCCAACCCACAGCAACCCTGGATAGGGTTGAAACCACCAACCTTGCAGCTTAAATGACTTTGCAGTCCAGTGCATTAACCCTCAGTGTGGAGAAAGATGAGGCTTTCTGTTCCCATAAAGATTTACAGCCTTGGAAACCCTAGACAGGGTTGCTATGAGTCGGAACCGACTCCACGGCACATAACCACCACCACCATCACACCAGGACTTGCCACAACACAGTGCATAATTATAGCTTACACACTGGTTAAATGCAAAAGAGCAATGCTAGAAAGTATGGAAGAAAGAATTGGGATTATTACTTACACTATTAATGTGAAAAAAAAAACCCAAAAAAGAGAGAGGGAATTTTTATAAACCCAATGTTATAAATCAATTTTCCTATAAAATTAAAACAGATCTAAAAGTATATTTTAAATAATTTCTGAACTGCAAGGTTCAACTCAATGAATGGCACTTAACAAAAACAGCTTATCAGGAGATCAATCCTCTACCTTATCTCTAGGACTTCCAAGTTTATCTCATTTTTCTAGAATTTTACAGATTATGAAGACAACAGCATACTGGAGAGTCACTGCTAAAATAATCCATTCCACATGTTATAGTTACCACTTTTATTTCATTTGTTGACACCCTAAAAAGCTGTAGGTCATGATTTATGCTTTGGAATTCTTGATAGGTAGCTAGTTTTTGTGTACTTTAAAAATGAACTTACCTTAAAAGTAATTATACACCACACCACATCCACATCATCTAACCAAAACTGCCATTCTCAATATCACAGTATCATCATCTCTCTTCTTAAGTCTACATTCAGCAACCCATCCTCTCACTACCTTTACCCCAAACGTTAGATGGGAGCTCCCTGGCAAAAGATGACCTTGTTTATTAATGTCATTCCTATGTATCTTCACTGCCTATCAACCCATCCTCAGATAAGACTTCTATACAACTAGGTCACTGCTTTTTGTTGCCTTTGATCAATTAAGGAGCCCTGGTGGTACAGTGGTTAAGTACTGAGCTTCTAACCCAAAACTCTGTTCAACACTCCAAAGGAGAAAGATGTGGCAGTCAGCTCCCACAATATTTACAGGCTTGAAACCACTATGTAACAGTACTACTCTGCCTTACAGGGTTGCAATCAATAGGAATCAACTCACTGGTGTTGATTTTTGCTTAGTTACTTTGCTTCCTTAAAGAACTCTACTTATCAGTCATCTTACAGTTAACAATTTGAAACTACCAGCGGTTCCACAGGAGAAAGATGAGGCTTTCTGCTCCGTAAAGATTTTTAGGCTCAACAACACTATACAGGGTCACTGTCAGTTGGAACGGAGTCCACGGCACACAACAACCACCAACCACCACCCAGAGAACACAGAAGATCCAATAAAAAAATTTTTAGATTCTGGTCTCCAGGCCTTTCTGTAAATTTTCATGTTATAATAACAAACCTTTAAAATAAGCAATCCCAATTTTCAGTGCTTTCTAAAGTCAGTAAAACCATGTGAACGACAATTTGAAAATCATTAAAAAGTATGGTTCAAACTTAAAGATTCTTCAAAAGATGCACACATTTCTTTATATTTTGTATATAGTAATTTTTCAAATTAATAAGGAAGCAAGCAAAACTGTTATATTTCATTAATGAGCAAAAGTATACATTTTGTGGAGTCTGTCTGCAGTATAACCACTGGACTGCTAACCATAAGGCTGCTAACCGACCAGCCAGCTCCTCAAAAACCCTAGACAGAGTTGCCATGAGTTGAAACTGACACACATCATCACATACTTCTTTGGAGAAAAGAATGCTGACTGCATACTGAGAAAAGCAAGCTCTAGTTATGGCTCTGCCATAAACCAAGTCACTTAAATTCGAGGATATCAAGGCCCTGGAGTACAACAGTAAAATGATTCCATGCCTTTCTGCACAGTACAATTCCACATCATGCCTAATAATCATTAATATACCTATATTCTTAAAAGGAGCTCGGTAGTGCAGTGGTTACGAATCGGGCTGCTAACCTTAGGGTAATAAGCAGTTCGAAACTACCAGTGGTTCCACGGGAGAAAGATGACGTGTTCTGCTCCCGTAAAGATTTACAGCCTCGGATACCCTGTACAGGGTCGCTATGAGTCGGAATCGACTCCATGGCACATAATAACAACAATTCTTAAAAATGTCATGGTCTAGACAATAACTTACATGGGCACTCTTCATGGTTAGGAACAAGAAGTCTGCAGTCACAGCATAATATTAATTCTCACCCAAACCCTCTAAATGACTCTTTTCATGTAAAAAGATAGAAAAATTAAATAATTTGCCTTAAGGAAATACTGTTTAAGTCAGTTATGTTGTTGTCACAGTTAAATGCTGTCGAGTTGGTTCCAACTCATAGAAACCCTGTATTAGGCTTCCGAGGAGCAACTGGTGGGTGGGCTTGAACCGCTGACCTTATGGTTCACAGTCCAGTGCTTATCCTACAGCACCATACCAGGAGTCCAAGAAAGTTATGCTGTTGTTGTTGTTTTTTAAGTGCAGTTGAGTCGGTTCTCACAGTAACCCTGTATAGAGTTTCTCTGAGAGTGGCTGGTGATTTGAACCACCGAACTTAGGGTTCATATTCCAGTACTTATCCTACCGCACCACATCAGAAGTCCAAGTAAAAAAAAAAAAAGTAACTGTAAAAAAAAGTTAAAACTTCTTATTCAACAAACATTTATTGTGAGCTATAAAATAAAGCCAGATACAACACAAAGCTACTTTTTATCATTTGAGCTGTAGGAACATCCTTATCAATTAAAAGTAAGATAAGCCAATATTTAATAGTACATGAAACCATGTTCATATTTTTTGCCCATGAAATTAAGCACTATGTTGAGGTTAATTTGGCTTCTGAATATAATTGTTCTTACCAGTTTTAGTCCTGTAAAAAGATACTTGACTTCTTGATTGATAAAACAGCTAAGCTGAAGCTGATTTTCCTTTCCCTTAGTGACTTCTTCTTCTTCAGATTCTGTACATTTCATGCTTTGTAAAATATGATAAGGAATACGCCAACAGGTACTCGGTTTGATAGATAATGCTGAATATAATAAGCTTTCCTAATGCTGTTAAAAGTAATTGCATCATTCAGTAGTATTTAAAATATCTTGGTCTCCTAAGTGATTCAATTCAATACAGTTTATTTACAATGCTCATTCTCCTACCAACAACTTTATAAGCAACAATGATTAATGAATATGTGTAAAAGGCTAAGCTGTAAATGACGAACTCTAAATAAGTCTAAGTTGACATTTGTTATTGCTCTTGTTGTTGTTGTTGTTGTCAGGTGCCATCGAGTCGGAACCGACTCATAGCGACCCCATGCACAGCAGAACGAAACAATGTTCGATCCTGGGCCAACCTCACTACAGCTGCCACACTTGAGTCCATCAATGATGCCACCTGGCTGATCCATCTCGTTGGGGGTCTTCCTCTTTTTCTCTGACCCTCCACCCTACCCAGCATGACATCCTTCTCCAGCGACTGTTTCCTCCGGACAATATGTCCAAAGTAGGAGAGACGAAGCTTAGCCATCCTAGCCTCCAAGAAGCACTCTGGCTGCACTTCTTCCAAAACAGATCTATTGGTTCTTTTGGCAGTCCATGGCACTTTCAGTATTCTCCTCCAACACCACAACTCAAAGGCATCAATTCTTCTATGATCCTCCTTATTCACTGTTGCTCTTAAGTGAGTGTAATTTGACTTATGGAGAACCTGTATAGTCTTTCTGAGAAGTGGCTGGTGGGTAAGCATGGACTTAATGACCCACAGAAACATTTTCTAAGTTCCTATCCATGATCTAAATGCTCTAAGTGATTGGTTGCTAACTGAAAGGCCTGCAGTTCAAGCCCATCAGCTTCTCTGTGGGAGTAAGATGTGGTAGTCTGCTTCCAGAAAGTCTTAGAAACTCTATGGGGCAGTCTACTCTGTCCTCTATGGTCAATGAATTGGAATCAACTCAGTGACAATGGAATTTTGGACATATGATATTGAAAATAGTACATTCCCCAAATTCATGTTCTATGTATTGGTTTAATCTCATGTACACAGCTCAGTTGATACACTGTTTTATGTAATTAAAAATTCTTTATGAGGTGAAATTAGTGAAGCAGATTCTACTAAAGATGTCTATAGTAAAAAATTATAACTATCCTAAAAGTGTACACTTATCTAAATTCAAGATCACACAAATGAGTGTATTTTTCTGAATTTCTAACCCAATTAATTTCCAGATATATAGATCTTATAAACTTTTGGTTATATATATTTTAGGCATAAAAACATCTAAAGAATTTCTTTCCTTCATACCCATCTGTCACCCCACTCATCTCTAGTAAATTATGAGTACAGTACATGTAAATCTTGACTCATAAGGATACGTAGTTTCAAACTCAACACCGAAGAACTGATCAATTAAACTTTTCTTTTTAGAAGGTGTCACTTCTGGTGCAGATGAATCTGTCTATAAAAATTAAAACGAGATAAAAATTTCAATTTCAGTTTACACAGATATATCAACACATTGTCAAAAGATTATACAGATGCTCAATGACATCAATGGATTGCATTTCATAAATACATTTAACTCAATTTTCAAATTCTGACTATGGATTGAGCATCAAAAATACTCATGTACATGTCTATCTATTAAAATGAATTTATATCAAAGTCTTAGGGGGAAGGGAAAACAAAAGAATGTCTCTAATCGCAAATATATTTCAGTTACCTCTTTAACAGAATCATCCTCTAAGGCTTCCAATTTCTGTTGCAATACTCGCATCATTTGTATCCAACATTCATTAGCATCCTGTGATTTAAAAATAACAAAGCAAGCAAGGCTATAAAGGTGTATGGTCTAGAAAATTCTTACAAAATAACTGTTTCCTTATGGCAGAAAACGGAGCCCTGCCAGTGCTATAAGTACTGGACTGCTAACAAGGCTGACAGTCCAAACCCACCAATCACTCCACAGGAGAAAAGACAAGGCTTTCTGCTCCAGTAACCATTTACAGCCTCAGAAACTCTATACAGGGTTCGCTATGAGTTAGAATCAACTCGATGGCAGAGGGCTTGATTTTATGGGGGTTTAGGGAAGAAAGCTGTTTTCTTCCGTAAAATAAGCCAAATAAGAAACTATATAATCTTCAAATACGATTTCATAAAAGTTCATCATTTAATAAGAACGTAAAAAGATGCTAAATATCATTATTAGTTATTAAGTGTTGCTGACTTGATTTCAACTCACAGCAACCCTGTATAGGGTTTCCAAGGAGCAGTTGGAGGGTTTGAACTGTTAACTCTGTGGTTTACAGTCCAATGCTATCCTACAGCACCACACCAGAGAAATACAAATCATTACTACTATGTTGGCTTTAAGAAGGTGTGTGGTATAATGCTTAAATGCCGGGTAGCTAATCAAAAGGTCAACAGTTGAAACCCATCAGTCACTCCATGGCTGAAAATGTGACAGTCTTCTCTCCTAAGGGCTGCAGTTTTGGAATCCCTAAGAGGTAGTTCTTCTCTACTCGATAGGGTCATTATGATTTGAAATTGACTTAACAGCGCTGAGAAGAGCTGTTATTAAATGGTCTAATGATTAAGTGCTGGGCTATTAACTGGCAGAAAACTGTCTATCCTGTAACGATTACTAAGAAACCATATGGGACAACTCTACTGTGTCATATAGGATTGTTGCTATGAGTCAGAATCGACTCAACGGCACATACCAGGATGGCTTTTATCAATGAATAAACAACAAAATAGAAAATAACACATTTTGGCAAGGATGTGGAAATATCAGAAACCTCATGCATTGCTGATGGGAATATAAAGTGGTACAGCTACTCTGGAAAACTATTTGGCAGTTCCTCAAAATTTAAACAAAAAATTATCATTATGTGCTTTTTGTGTCCATCCAAAAAATAAATAAATAAAAAACAACACAGGGAACAGAAGCAAATACCGTTGAATGATGGGCACGAAGGGGATCGTAATTAGTGCAATGAAATGAAATACAATAGGATGATCGTAAAACCACTCTTCTCCCATGTAAACTATTAGTCAATCTACAATAAAACTTTAAAGAAAATCATGAATTATAAAAATTTTCAATATGTTATTTACTCACTTCCAGATTATAAGAATGCTGAAAATATATATAGTTGTCAAATTTAAAATACAGGTTTATAATCAATTCAAAGGATAGAAGACTACATTGCTATATAAAAAATATTTTTTAAATATTAAAAAGAAAAAAATTTTCTTTTAACTCATCACAAAAAAACTAACCTAAAACAATTATCATTAAGACCCAGCACTTTAGATTCTAGATGTATGCCCAAAAGAACTAAAGTTAGGAACTCAGATACTTGTACACCAATGTTCACTACAGCAGAAAAGTGTCTATCAACATATGAATGGATAAACAAAATGTGGTATATACATAAAATGGAGTATCATACAGCCATAAAAAAAGAAATGATAGTTGGTATATCATGAATGAACTCTGAGTTATCAGTCAGTCACAAAAGGACAAAGACTGCCCAACAAAGACTGTCCACTGGGGCTTCAAAAAGTTCGTGGGGAAATGGAATGTAAAAGATTATGGAATTTTTCCATAAGCTTTTCAAAAAAGCCCTTTTACATAATCCCACTTACATAAAATATCTAAAATAGGCAAATGCATAGAGACAAAAGTTGACAGGGGTTAGCAAAGACTAGAGGTAGGAAAGAATGGTGGGTTAACTGCTCAGAATACTGAGTTTTTGTTTGGGATGATGAAAACCTTAGAGATAGAGGTTTTCATCATCCCAAACAAAATGATGATGATCTGTATTATGATTGTAACTAATGTCAGTGAATTCTGTTGTTTTTGTTAGGTGTCATCGAGTCAGTTCTGACTCACAGTGACTCTATAGGGTTCCAAGGCTATAAATCTTTACAGGAGCAGAAAGTTTCATCTTTCTCCTGCAGAGCGGCTGGTATGTTTGAACTGCCAATCTTGTGGTTAGCTGTCTAGTATTTCTCCTACAACGCCACCAGCACTCATCAGTGAAATTATACATACTTAAAAATGGTTAAGAAAAACTATCACATAATTCACAATAAAACATTTAAGAAAAAAAAATGGTTAAGGTGACAAATTTGTATGTTTTACCACAATTAAAAAAAAAAAAAAAGAATAAAGAGAGCTAATTGGGGAAAAAATGCAGAGAAACAGAAGTAGAATGATCAACTATACAACAATCCATTGAAAAGACAGTGAGATAATGGTTATATGTGAACCAGGATGGATCGTTGTTTTCATTTCCAAATACACGCCAATCAATATGGTGATAGCAATAACTATAGGAAACCTAAGTTTTTAATTATAAAATGAAAACTACAAACCCTCAAACTAATTACCTGTTGAAGATATTGTCCTTGTTCGCCTTTCTCTGCAAATTGTGGGAAAGCCATATGCAAAAACTGGAGTAGAATAATGGGTGGAATACTAGAAGAAGTTTTATCCATGGAATCAAACAAATCTCTAAGGGCTTAAAAACAAAGTAAATATTGCTGTAGTAAAATAACAACATATTAAAAACACAGTACTATAATCAATTCTTCTTAATCAGTATAACAAAAACCTGTTTAATAATTATTTTAAATAGATCAATCCCTTTTGAAATTGCTGACTCCTAATGAACAGAATGAAGTCCTGGTATGGCGCTGTGGGTTAACGCACCAGACTGCAAAGCCATTTGAACTGCAAGGTTGGCAGTTCAAGTTCACCAGCTGTTCCTTGGAAACCCTAAACAGGGTCACTATGGGTGAGAATCGACTCAACAGCACTTCACAACAACAGTGAACAGAGTAATATTAATTTTTAAATCTTAATTCACCAGAGGACTATCACTAGCTATACACAACTTCTAAGCTCTGCCTTTCTCTGTCCTTGCCTGCTTTTGTCATCCCAAACAAAACAGGCTACATTAATTCACTGCAAAGAGCAATAACCTCTATGTAGGGATCAAATGAATACAATGTGACTTTTTTCCATGATGGACAGGCCTTCAGTTCACCACTCCCAGCTCACCTCCTGCCTTAGTTACCTAGAGGTGCTGTAACAGAAATACCTTAAGTGGATGGCTTTAACTAACAGAAATTTATTCTCTTCATTTAGTAAGCTAGAAGTCTGAATTCAGAATAACAGTTCTAGGGGAAGGCTTCCTCTCTTAGTTCTGGGGAATATCTCTGTCTCCTTTCAAATTGCGTGAGCATTGTGTTCCTTGGAGATCTCTTATGTCTTGGTATCAATCTTCCCCTGGATCTAGGAGATAGATACACCATGGTCCCAAGGACACACAATGCTCTTGGTTCTACTTTTTAGTGGTACTGACGTCACTCTCTCTGTGCTTGCTTCTCTTCTAAATAATAGGTGAAGCAGGCCACATCCCAGGGAACTCTCTTTACATTGGATCAGGGTTATGACCTGAGCAAGGGCATTGCATCCCACCTTCATCCCCCCCACAATGACTGGCTGACCACTTTAGATCATATCATGGGAGATCATCATATAACTGCCAAAATTACATCATTACATAACTGTCAAACCCTGAAAATCAGGGTCCAACCAAGTTGACACACATTTTTGGGAGACATGTAACTCAATCCATGACATCCCCTTCTAATCTAGAGTTGCTTCCCTTCTACCGGACTCCGAATATTAAAATCTGGCTCCATGTAAACACTTTCTGACTTATTAAGCAGCCAAGACACAAAACTAATTTGTCTTCTTCAGAAATTTTCTCCTGGTTATCTCCTCTCACCATCACAAATCTCATGATCATAAAAGCTCAGCTCTTCTCCCTGAATTCGGAATACTTTTTCCCTGCTGATTTCTTAGTTATTACACTTTGCCTTTATAATGGTTTATCCACTAGAACTTCATATACAACAAAATTCTAATCTATCTTGACATGTATTGTTTTATTAATACCTAAAAATGTGAAATGGTCTCTGTCATTTATATACAAACTGTGTTGTATGTGTGGTGGAATTGATTCTGATTCACAGTGACCCTCCTTGGGGTTTTTGAAGCTGTAAATCTCTACAGGAGCAGAAAGCGTCATCTTTTTCCTACGGTATGGCGAGTGGATTTGAATCGCTGACTCTGTGTTTAACAACCCAATGCATAACCCAGTATGCCACTAGGGCTATATATACAGACTTGCCACTGTTGTTGTTAAGTGCCATCGAGTCAATTCTGACTCACAGTGATCCTGAACAGGATTTCTGAGGAATAGCAGGTGATTTTGCGGTTCAAACTGACCTTGTAGTCCAGTGTATTAACCCACAGTGCCACACCAGTACTCCATTATACAGATTGGAGCTCCTTAAATACTAGCACAAAGTAGGTGGTCAACTATTCATTTAGGCACCACTACAAAACTGATTACAATTTAAAAAATAATAAAAAAAAAGAGAGAACATAAAATTTAGTAACACTTTAAAAGTATGTCAGTCAATAAAACAGATCATTTAGACCACTTGAGATTTAAAATTTACTCTTTAATATTTTGAAGTTCCTGGGTGGTACAAACAATTAGCATGCTTGACTATTAACTGAAAGGCTGGCAGCTCAAGTCCATCTAGCGTCATCTTGTAAGAGAAGCCTGATGATCTACTTGTGAAAAATCAGTCTCTGAAAATGCAGCTAAACTCAGAAACACAGAGTCACCATGACTTAAAGGCAATTTGACAGCAACTGGATATTTAATGTTTTATTCTAAAATAATTTTATCAGTTTAAAAGAAGTTAAGAAACAAATTCTAGATAAAGGAAGCAAGTGAGGCATGATAGTTACAAGCAATGTGTGTGATCCTGAATTGTATCCTAAGGAAAAAAGAAAAACACCTCAAAATATTATTGGGACAAAACTTGCATAAAGTCTATATTTTAAAGTATTATGTCAATGCTAAATTCCCTCATTTTGAAAATTGATAACCTTCCTGGGGTTATCCTTTTTCTTAGGAAACCCAGACTTTTGCAACCAGGAGTAAAGGACATGCCTCAACCTTATTCCCAAAAGGTTACAAAAGTTAAATAAATAACCAGACTGCAAGGTTGGTTTGAACTACAAAGTCGGCGGTTCAAACTCACTAGCCACTCCTCAGAAACTCTAGACAGGGTTGCTATAAGTCAACTACCTCAATGGTGGCATCTAACAACATATAGAGGGAATGTTAAACCAAATTCTTAAAATTTTTCAGTAAATTTAAATTCAAGGGGCAAAAACATTTCACCACCACTAGTAATACTGGGGGAGTCCTGATGTGGCGCTGAGGGTTAATGCCTCAGATTGCAAAGCCGTTTGAACTGCAAGGTCGGTGGTTCAGGCTCACCAGCTGTTCCTCGGAAACCCTATACAGGATCGCTATGGGTCGGAACCGACTCGACGGCACTCAACAACAACAATAATACTGGAGTCCTGATGTGGTGCTGTGGGTTAATGCGCCAGACAGCAAAGCTGTTTGAACTGCAAGGTCGGTGGTTCAAACATACCAGCTGCTCCATGGAAATCCTATACAGGGTCGCTATGGGTCGGAACCGACTCGACAGCACTCAACAACAATGATACTGGAGTCCTGGTGTAGTACTATGGCTTAATGCATCAGACTGCAAAGCCGTTTGAACTGCAAGGTCGGCAGTTCAGTCTCACCAGCTGCTCCTCGGAAACCCTATGCAGGGTCGTTATGGATTGGAACCGACTCAATGGCACTCAACAACAACAAATACTATAAGCAGAGTCCTGGTGTGGTGACATGGGTTAATGCATTGGACTGCAAAGTCAATTTGAACCACAATGTCAGCAGTTTAAGCTCACCAGCTGCTCCTTGGAAACCCTGTACAGGGCCCCTATTAATCAGGACTGACTCAAAGGCACTTAACAACAACAAATCCTGTAAGCATCCTTTATGATATTAGAAAAGTAGTTGAAATTCTAAAAGATATATAAGTAATTAAATGAACTAGACTTAGGTAATTATAACTATTCATCCAAAATTACATTTTTGGTTCAAATAAAATATAGTTGGAAAAAAACTTCATTTCAACAAATAATCTACTTTCAAGATTAGCAGAAAAATCATCCTAACTCAAAATGACAGAACTAACCCACTGTTTATTGTTGTAAAAACAAATGAACTATTAAATGGCCAATAAACCCTTGAAAAGATGCTCAGTATCATTAGGTAAAAGGGAGACACAAATTAAAACCACTTACCAATATATAGTCAGTAAAAGGTTATAATCAGAAGACAGAAGAAAAGGGATTGTGAGGATATAGAGAAACTGAAATTCTCATATACTGATGGAGAAATGTAAATGGTACAGCCACTTGGGAAAACAGTTTGGAAGATCTTCAAAAGAACAAATGTAGTACTACCAAATGACCCAGCAACTTTACTCTAAGGTATAAAAAGGAGAATGTAAACATACAAAGACTTGTACACGAGTGTTCACAGCAGCATTATTTAGCCAAATAATAGCTGAAATGTGGAAGACAGAAAACCAGAACAGCTGTGGGATGACATCAAGACTATCAAACATGAACAAAGCAAAAGGTCACTAAAAAGGCAGGAAAGAAACACAAAAATGGATGTCGGAGACTTTGAAACTTGATCTTGATATAGAAGAGGATGTGAAGAGAGGGTTATCACTGCTGACATTAGACGGATCTTTCATAAAAGAAGAATTTACCACAAAGATATTCACTTTTGCTTTATAGACTCTGCAAAGGCATTTAATTGTGTGGATCGTTAACACACTATGGATAACACTGGGAAGAAAGGACATTCCAGAACACGCAGATGGCACAACCTTGCTTGCTGAAAGCAAAAACGACTTAAAATATTTATTGATGAAGATCAAAGACTTTCAGTATGAACTGCTCCTCAAGGTAAGTAAGAATTCTCACAAGTGGGCCAATAAACAACATGATAAATGGAGAAAAGAATGAAATTGTCTAAGATTTTCATTTTGCTTGGATCCACAAAAAACACTCACTGAAACAGCAGTCAAGAAATCCAATAATGGATAGTTTCAACCTTGCAGATCCTGCCAATCAGAGATTACTAAATCCCCATTCTCGTCCATCTGCCACCACCTACTCCAGGAACAAAACATCCAGTCATGGGTAAAAATGAGCTGGTGCAAAAGGCCACACTGGCTGAGCCAAATGAATGATATGATGACATGGGAGCCTGCATGAAGTCTGTAATTGAGCAAGGAGCTGCATTATCCAAAGAGTAAAGGAATCTTCTCTCAGTTGCTTATAAAAACATTGTAGGAACCTGTAGGTCATCTTGGAGGGTCGTCTCAAGTATTGAGCAAAAGACGGAAGGTACTGAGAAGACGGCTTGAGAATATAGAGAGAAAACTGAGACTAAGGTAAGAGATATCTGCAATGATGTACTATGTCTTTGGAAAAGTTCTTGATCCCCAATGTTTCAGAAATAGAGAAGAAAAGTCTTCTACTTGAAAATGATAGATTACTACTGTTGAGAAAGAAATTGTGGATCAGTCATAAGAAGCTTACCAAGAAGCTTTTGAAATCAGTAACAAGGAAATACAACCAACACATCCTATAAGACTGGGTCTAACCCTTAACTTCTTGTTCTATTATAAGATTCAGAACTCCCTGGAGAAAGCCTGCTCTCTTGCAAAGACTGCTTTTAATGAAGCTATTGCTAATTTGATACATTAAGTGAAGAGTCATATAAAGACAGAACACTAATAATGTAGTTACTGAGAAACAACTTGACATTGTGAACACTGGATACCCAAGGAGACAGGATGAAGCAGAAGGAAAGGAAAATTAACCAACTTTTGTTCTGTCTCATCCTAAAATTTACACAGTAAAATTTTTTTAAATGATTTATGACAGGTTTATGTCACTTCTATTTGAATTTCTATATTTTTCGTGTGATTTTTTTATGTGTAATATTAGGAAAGTAGAACCAATTAACATTCACCAAGTTATCTGTTTTCATCTTGCAGTGGTCAATATGGGGATATAGAATTTTTATATCAGTTGTAAGTGTTTGGCTAAGTACTTTTTGGAACATTGTGGCTTCACAAGGAACAGTGTTACAACTGCTTCCCTGTCTAAGCAAACAAAACTGGCTCCATATTGGTTTGTCCTGGTAGGGAATAAAAGGGATAATAAGCGTTTAAGTCACCGGTGTAGTGATTGTGGGTACTTTAATGTTTGGAAGACTTACAAGGATATGGTAGAAACAGATACACATGGTTCAACATGTAATATCCATAGGATATCTATGGAATACACAATGTCAACATGCCCACCTTTGGATACAGCTGCTGAAGTGTTCCTTTAGACAATCATGACACAATTTATTCTAGAGAAGGGCAGAAATGGTTCACTGTCCATTATTTGTAAAGGTACCTGCTGTTTCCTTTCATTATTTTTGCTACACTCATTTGCATTTAAATGTTTTAGGAAACCTAAGAATGAATGTACAAGTAAAGATACAGTAAATGTGAGTTGCTTGATACTACTTCATGTATATCAAGTGCAGCAGTAAAAAAACAAACAAAAACATGTACTTTTCTTAGGGTTTTACTTTTGTGATTTTATTTTTCTTATTTTGATACTTGCCTAACATGCATATGCTATATTGTTGTTATGTGCCATGGAGTCAGTTCTGACTCATAGCAACCCTGTACAGGGTTTCTGAGGCTGTAAATCTTTACAGGAGCAGAAAGCCTCATCTTTCTCCCATGGAACAGCTGGTAGTTTCGAACTGCTAGTTTCGAAATGCTGACCTTGAGGTTCGCAGCCCGATTCGTAACCACTATGCTACTAGAGCTCCTTATGCATATGCTATAAGAAGAGTTAAAAGGGAACTATCTTGAGATGATAGCTATCTATGTTTAATGACTTACGAAATTCTCATGAACAATACAAGCATAACTGTTTTAGGATATGTATAAAGTTGATTTAAGTAGAATAAAAGTTTTATGAATAGACTTTTCAAATATTTTTCTATACAGCTTTTCATGTAAATTAGATTTTTGGTTCTGAACCTTCTCTAAAGGAAATTGTACCTTTTTGGAAATTTATTCCTTATTCCCTCTTGGCAAGTAATGGGCTTTTACAACTTTGAATACAAAGTTTACCATAATAACAAAAATACTAATATAACTACTACTGTTCCAAACGATGTCCCATTCCCCCCTCCCTACACCTCTCACAAAAACTGGTTGCTATTTTTGTAGGGAGACAGAACAGAAAAAAGTGGTTATGTTCCATTAAAATGTTTGATATATGGCATTTTCTAACTTAGGATGCCACAATGTTCTTGGGTCATTGGGACACTGGGTAGCATAAACTGTAAGTTTTTATGCTTCCAAACACTTGGTTTTTAAAATCTTTTTGACATTCTTATAGCCTACCATCAGTTTTGATCCTTTTATTCTACTTGTCAGGAGCACAGGATCACCTTCCTTTTTTAGCCTTATTCTGTCTTGTCACCAACTATTGTTACTTGATGTCCATGTACTTGGGAAAAGGCCACATGAGCTTTGGGGCTCCACACAATATCTAAGAGACACTGATTCCTTGTTTGCATCCCATGAACTCATTCCCTCAAACTATTTACTGCAGCAAATATCCTTAGTTGATGAGATCTCTCCCTGTAAGGCCTTCCTATCCTGGGGCTGGACTGTCAGCCTTTAAAGCTTTTCTCTGTCTCTATTTTCTAAATAGTGATGGGGCTAATTTATACCCACAGCTCACCCTACAGAATATTTTCTCAGTACCTTGCAGAAAACACCAAATAAAAATACCATTTTAAAAGGCATATTTTATTTCTTTTAGAATATAAGCTCCTCAAGAGCAAGGACCTTTTCTGTATGTCCTATTGTGCCTGTTGCTGTGGTTGTTGTTAGGTGCCACTAAGTTGGTACCTACTCATAGTGACCCTATGCACAACAGAATGAAACATTCTGGTCCTGACCCAACATAAGAATTGTTGCTAAGCCTGAGCCCATTGCTGCTGCCACTGCACCAATCCATCTCGTTGGGGGTCTTCCTCTCCTTCTCAGACCCTCCACTTTACCAAACTTGATATCCTTCTCCAGAGATTGGTCCCTCCTGATAATATATCTGCAGTATGAAAACCGAAGTCTGGCCATCCTGGCTTCCAAGGAGCAGTCTGGCTGTACTTCTTCCAACACAGATTGTTCTTTTGGCGGTCCATGGTACTTTTAATATTCTCCTCCAACACCATAACTCAAATGTATCAATTCTTCTACAGTATTCTCTATTCACTGTCCAACTTTCACATGCATATGAGGTTACTGAAAATACTGTGGCTTGAATCAGGCACACCTTAATCCTTAAACTGACATCTTTGCTCAACGTACAAAAGGATAACACTTCAAAGAGATCTAGTGCAACAGATCTGGCTAATGTAATATCACTTATTTGCTGACTGCTGAGTGTTTATGGTTGATCTGAGCAAAATAAAGTCTTTTACACTTTAGATAGGTGCATTGTATGGTACATGAATTATGTATTTCAATAAAGCTATTATTTAAAAAATAAATAAATAAAAGGATGGTTATAAAAACCCTATCAACCTAAATGAGAAATCACTAGTAAAAATGCACAAAATCATAACAAAGGATGTATGTATGCTTGTATTATGTTAAAAAATACAAATATCATCTCTATTCTTTACGAATTT